GACTGGCTCTTATCAGTTAGCGGCCTAAATAAGAAAATGTTCTTGTAGAGGGTTATAATGTTGACAGTTGGCACGAATGAGTATATACATATACATATGTAGATTCGTACATCTGTCTGAGGAGAAAGAGCAAATGCAAGAATTCTCTTCCAAATACAATTTTAAGAAACTATTTCATCTGTACTTATTTGTACATATGGCTAGCTTTTATATAAATCTTTTATAACCTTTCAACCTATATCATATAAACTTTTATTTGACAATGATATTATTTGTCAGAGCCGCATTATGTCATCAGGTTCAAGTTCAAATATGTTTGGCTGTCATTGGAGCTGAAAGAGACGAAACAAACCAGTTTCTTGGGGTTTACATGCCACATTAGGATGGGCAGGGCACATAAAAGTGGTTGGATTAACTTTAGCTTCAGAGTCGAAAAAGTTGTTTAGAATAAATAAACAATTGAATAGCATTATGTATCTGCCTAGCGTTGACTGTCTAATATATGTAAATATTTATTACTAAAGGCATTTTCTTATGTATCTATATAGAAGTTATGTCAACTTTTTAATAAAACATTTTGTTCAGGCTTGGCACATTCATGTCATGAACATCAACTAAAAAGGCAAACGTTGCGTTTTATATATTTTTTAATCGTGTAATTTAAGCAGCTGGTTGATAAACGTTCTGGTTTCCCTCATATTATGAGCAAAACCAAGAAATAATACACAACTACAGACTGAACAAGAAAGACGGCAATTATTTGCACGCCGAAATTTGAATACCCTTCCAGACAAATGGTTAACGGCTTTGTGATAGCAGAATTTTTATCAAGATGTTAAAAGAAAAACAAATAATTTAATAAAAAGAAACTCACTTTTGACTGATTCTAATTTATGTTAGATGTATAAATGCCAAAATCGCGTAAGATCTCATATATATTGTTTATGGGATCGCAGCAAAATTCAAATACCTTTAGAAAGTGTATATAAATACTGCTGAAACCACATAAGTGTTGCTAGAGGGGCATGAGGCAGCAGCGGAAGCAACAGATAAACAGCCGCGAAGAGCAGACGCATTCCCATTCACACACAAACAAACGGACACGGGAGAGCGCGTTCTTGCCGCTCTCACGCCCCCATGCAAATATTTTGCAATTGGGTCACTGTGCAAAGCCTGAAGGATAAGGTCGTGCACAGACATGATGAGATCGAGAGCAATATATATATATAGCGTGGCGTTCAGTAATTAATTATGCCAAATGCGCCCGTTGCGTGACAATTAACTGTGCTGACTTTAGTACACAGTTGGGAGTAGTTTTTTGTTATAAACTCACCGCCCCAGATGCCGATTTTCAACTGTTTGTGATCCAAATTCTCGATGTAGTCACCCAGCACCTTGTTGAGCACATCAACCACCACGGCCTCGAATACCATCCTGAAGCCGTTTTCGCGGTCGCAGTCGCCGGCGTCGGAGCCTTAAATGTGCCGTTGTCAGCGCCTTTCAAGTCCAGCTGTTGGCAGCCAAGAAATCGGCTGCTTATTGATTTGTAGTCTTTCGTATGTGTTTGTTATTGTTTAACTAATTTGCGTGTGTGTGTGTGCGTGCGTGGATTTGATGAACGCTCTCGGTTTGTATGAATTTAGCCTTTTCTAAACATTAGAACAGAAACAGAATGGAAATGGATTTGTGAGAAAAAAATAAAACTTAGCGCAGATGATGTCATCACCAACAACCATCGGCAGAAAACACAACCAAAACATGCCAACAGAATAGGCAGACACTGTATTTAAATGATTCGTCAAGCATTACAACAATAAAAACAACAAGAGCAAAGCATTTGGCATTATTTTCAAGTATTACGTTAATTAGCGTATGTTTGTATGTGTGTGTGTGAAAACACCACTATAGCCGATATGAAACCACGCGATTATTCCTTTTTCTTGCGCACTTTATATCACTGCCTTTTATTTGCCATGCATATGCAAAGCTTTATCTTAAATAACCAAATGGTACAAAACAACAACAACACGAAAGAAAATTTACCTTGCACAGTATTACATTTTCACTGCGCAGTAAAAAAAACACGCGCAGCACCGACCAGCGATGGGACAAAACTAAACTCTGAACGGCAACAGCTGTGCTGTGGGGCCTTTCAGGTGACTGGCGCTAGAGTCGCTCAATGAGTACAGCAGCGCGCGCTCTCTCGAGCACTCTCTCCGAATTTAACTCAGACAGCGAGTGGCATGGTTAGTTGAGCAAACTCTCATTACACAAAATACTCTCCCACGCTGTGTAATTACAAATTTATATACATATATTAAATGGTTGCCGCTGCATTAAAAATGCAGCCACATTTAATACAAAACAAAAAACAATAGCGTTTGTTTTGTTCGCGCTTGCCTGTGATTGCCATTTTTACTGCACAGCTGTATGAATGTCGGCGTGTTGTATTTCCAGGTGAATGCCAATTTAACAAGCTGACGTGTAGAGCTGCGGGCGCAAATAAAATCAAATTTAATAATGCAAACAAGGTTTATTTTGCTTATGCTGGCCCTTGTGCCCGTTGTGCTGTCCAAGAAGTTCAAGGATGAGGAGAAACCGGAGTGGGCAAAGAAAGATATACGTGATTACAGCGAAGCCGATTTGGAGCGCCTGCTGGACCAGTGGGATGTGCGTAAAGCATAAAATTAATCAAAATCAACATAACAAAATTGACTTTTGCAGGAAGATGAGGATCCACTAGAGCCGGATGAGCTGCCGGAGCACTTGCGGCCACAGCCGAAGCTAGATTTTTCGAATTTGGACAGCAAAAACCCCGAAGACCTGCTCAAAGTATCGAAAAAGGGCCGCACGCTAATGACATTTGTTTCAGTCACCGGCAATCCCACGCGGGAGCAGGGCGAAGAGATAACCAAGCTTTGGCAGACCAGCTTATGGAATAATCACATACAAGCGGAACGTTACATGGTCGACGACAATCGAGCGATATTCCTGTTCAAAGACGGTGCGCAGGCCTGGGAGGCAAAAGACTTTTTGGTGGAGCAAGAGCGTTGCAAGGGAGTTACCATCGAAAATAAGGAATATCCGGGTGTACATGTTAGGGACGAACTGTAGTATTCATTGTATCTAAGCACTCCAAACGACATTCTCATGTAAAGTATTTTGTAAGCGCAAAAATGAACAAATAGAAAACTTTGAATTGAACATGTACCCAATTGTTTCTGCCATTCACGTGTCAACGTCAGCCGTTTTGTGCCGCCCTCGTTTGGCTTGTTTACGTTTCAAGACGTCAAAATTTCGAGCTTCAGCTCCCCTCAATTTGACCTTAACAGACACAACGGCTTTGCCCCCTTGCCAAGAGGCGCGACCGAATAGTTGCGCATGCAAAAACGCTAGAAACATGCCTATTCAAGCCAAAATCGGTCCGTCTATACTAAATGCCGACTTGGCCAATTTGGCAGCGGAGTCACAGAAATTGCTGGACAATGGTGCCGATTATTTACATCTGGACGTTATGGACGGCACTTTTGTGCCAAATCTCACGTTCGGCCATCCCATGGTTAAGTGTTTGCGTAATAATATCAAGGTAAGCTTGTGGCTTGTATAGATTGTTGTCTAGTGTTTCGTCTTACCTTCAATTTATATGTTTTCATTTACTCTATATAGGAGGCGTTTTTCGAGACGCACATGATGGTCCAGAATCCAGAGCAATGGATAGCTCCAATGGCGGATGCAGGCGTTAACCTTTATACGTTTCACGTGGAGCCCGTTGACGATGTGAGCAAGGTTAGTCGGCTGATACAGGAAGCCGGCATGAAAGTGGGCCTGGCCATTAAGCCGGGCACCAAGGTAAGTTGAGGTTATGTGTACACGCGCTCTGAAACTGAAGAAACACATGTTGCTTGCAGGTGCAGGAAATTGAGAAGTATATTGACGTAGCGGATCTTGTGCTGGTTATGACAGTGGAGCCAGGCTTTGGTGGCCAATCCTTTATGGCCGACATGATGCCCAAAGTTGAATGGCTGCGCACCAATTATCCCAACCTGGACATCGAAGTGGACGGCGGTGTCGGGCCGAAAACCATCGATTGTTGTGCCAAGGCTGGCGCCAATTGGATTGTCTCCGGCACCGCTGTGGTCGGCGCCGCCGATCAGCGCCAGGTCATTGGCGACATGCGCGACGTGGTGAAGCGTTACCTGAAATAGACTAAAATGCATATTCAATAGAGTTTATTACTTAAGTTCAAAGTGTTTGCAGACAAACAAAATTTCCCGTTCAAGATCCAATTTTTATACAATTTATATAAAGACAGGACTTTTGCATTTTATAGTTTTATACATTTATTTTTCAACATTTATATATGTAAGTATATAGTATGTATGACATTTTGCTTATAGCATTTAGTTGGTTATGCGTGTGTGTGTGTGTGGGTGTGTGTGTGTGTGTGTTTTGTCTGTGTGTGTAGTTACACTTAGATTTATGCACATTCTTAGTTATTGTACGGCCAGTTTTGGGGATTGCCCTATTTATATTTAGTTAATCTCTGGCAAAAATAATTTAGTCAGCATTTCCTTTACAATTCAACAAATTTCAATGTAAAACTTTTCATAAATTCTCAATGCCGTTTCGGGACAAACAGAAAATCAGTTTCAAATTTTATTGTCAATGTTTTTTTATATATTGTAAATTTTTAACAAAGATCTCGTTTGTTTTAGTTTTTCATTCTGTGCATAATTAACAAGTGCATTTCACCAAATGATTATCTTTAAATATATATGTATGTATGCATGTATGTGTATATATATATATATATATGTATATATATTCTGATATCTGTGTAAACACACACATGTAAATTCAACTAGTTTTTTTTTTTATTTTTCAATCAGCTTCTGGTTTTTTGTTTATCATTTTTGTCTTCATTTTTGCAAATTTTGCTACATTTTACATTTAACATTTCGCTACATTTATTATATTGTCTTTGTTTGCATTAATTTAAATTGTTTATTTAGTGTACATTCTCAAGCACATTGAAATTGAACAGTTCGAGCGCATCTGATAGTTTATTAACAAAAGTGTTTGTTTCAAAACAAATTAGAACACGCACAGGCCCATTTTTATTGTTAAGCATAGCAATTTTAACAAATATATGCATGTATGTTTTCCATTTGGATCTTCTGGCTAGTTGCCCATGTATATATGTATATGTATGCATGTATGTGTGTATGTATGTATGTGTATCTCGTAATACTCGTATGCTAATGTAAGTGTACTCCTTGCCGAGCTGTACATATATATAGTATATGCATGTATATAACTTATTTGACTTGCCAATGCTAAGCATTATTACATCTATATATATATATATATGTATATATATTTATAGGTATATATGTATTTGTTTTATACTAAAAATATACATAAAGCTAAGCGTTGGTTTCTTTGATAGTAGCCCGGAGCATAGGTATAAAAATAGCCCATCCTTAAACATGATCGTAAATGCAAAAAGCTGAAACTTAAGAAGAAAATTTAAACAAAGACGAAATCAAGGGAAAAATTCAAAGGCATAAAGTACATTGAAACTGCGTGTACATGCAGACATAAATGGCAAAGTATAATGCGTTTAGAAATCTTTATATATATATATGTATATATGGTATATATAGTAATTGTCCTTGTTGTATTATACTCATTTTCGTAAAGCATTTGGTTTTGCGTGTGGTTGTGTATTGTCCTGCCCAGTCTAATATCTAAGCGTTATCCACTTGTTATCCTGCATAATTATCTGCTCAGTGAACTTATAGTTTATATAAAGGATGCGCGTTTAACAACAGCCCACTGTTCTACACACATACATACATATACCCTATATATATATATGTGTGTATATGTGTGTGTATATGCACTTGTATAAACATTTGTGTTTTTGTCACTTGAATATGCATGTATAAATTTTTAGACACCATCACAACTGCTTAAAGCTACAGCTACTTGATATAGTATATATATACCATATATTGTATATGTATATTCTTCTCGATATATGTATATTTTCTTGTATATATTTCACTTACACTTAATATTATTTCATTATTTCCGTTTCCCTCAGGTTTTTCGCTAAAAAAGTGTTTTTCATTTTTCATTTTTCTGTGCCTTGTGTAATATGCGCTTCATTTGCCGCTTATAAATTATATTTGATATAGTACTAAGAATACTTGAATACTCTTTAATTTTTGGGGTTTGTTTTTTTTTTTGTAAACTGATTGTACAAAACATGCATATACAATTTGTATATATGTACCGAGCTAATGCTATACGCTTCTTATTTATTTATTATTATTATTTTCTTTTTCGCTTGAATGGATTATACACATACACACATTTTAGGATAATTATTTTTACTGGATATAGTATACTCGTAATACTCATCTAAAGCGTTTCAACAAGTTTAGCTAGAAATGATAGTTAACAAAACTCAAAATTCAAATTGTTTTTTTTTTTTTTTTTTTTTTGTAATTTCTTTTTAAGCCTGAAACAACCAATTTTGAGTCTTTAGTTACGCATTTCCTTCATTTAGCAAAGTAGTTGTAAATATTGTAGCACTCCAGCAAGAGACAGCCATATATAGATATATAGTACTAGATGGCATAGATATTATGCGGTACGAACTGAACTGGCGCCCAATTGAATTATGGAACTCAACTAAACTGAAGTTAAAATTCTTTTCGATTGATTTCGGCTTGAAGCATAACTGAAAATTTGACTATTATGTTAAGTTCTATTATTATTTGTATATAGGTATATTTAAAGGTTCTTTCTTGGCGTCCAGTCTAATGCGCATGCTAAACAAGTACATAGCTTTAGTTGTATATAGCTATAAATATAAGTTATCATTACATTTAAAAAGCATGTATACAATTTAATTATCATCGGTTGACGTTGCTCTTTGTAAATAGTACATCAACTAAGCCGTCGATATATGCATGTATAATACATATATAAGTACGATTTGTATCTCATTTGTTTTCATCTTCTGCTAATTCTGTACGGTTTTTTTTTTCCACATTCAATTTTGTTTATTTAAAGCTGAAACCCACGCATTGTAGTTAGTATTTTCATGACTTTTGCTAAAACTAGTTCTTAGGCCTTAAATAGACGTTTCTTTTACTACAACAAATTCACTTTAATTTTAAGATTAGATTTTTTTTAGTTACGCTTTTTTTAGGTTAGTTTTTTTTTTGGAAAAGTTTTGTGCATATTTATTGTCCTTTGCACTTTTCAGTTAGGTTTTTGTATTTTAGCTGTTTTTCTTTGTTTTCCTTTGGTATTGTCTATAACGTATTGTTTTTTTTTTCCTTCTAATTTCTAAGCGCATACACAGTTTAACACATAATAGTTATTAAATATAAATAATTACTTGTTTTTTCCATTGTGTTCCTTAAAGTTTATGCTTAGTTTTCTGCCGTTCTAAAAGCTGTATTTAATGTTCCTCTTCTACTTTTTATTCTTGGCGGCAATCATACATTTTTGTTTATTATTTTCTTTACAATTATATATATATATGTATATATATTTTCACATGTACAGACATTATATAGTGTTGTTACTTTGAGTTTTTTGTTTTTTACATTTATCTTATGCTATATGTGTAGGGTTTTAACGAGATGTTCGTATCTCTTATATACTTTTGGTTTACGTAAAATTTTCGCTTTTTGCTTTCATATATGCTTTTTATTGTCCACGATTCACGATTATTTTGTAATTTTCTTAGACACATTGATACACAAGGGGATTATGTTTGCATTATTTTTAGTTTCGTTTAGTTCCATTTACTAAATGTGTATTGACATTAGGTTTCGCTTTGCTGTTTCATAGAAAACTCTTTGTAAAAAAAATTGACAAATAAATTCGGCAAATTGACATACGATTATGTTGCCCAGATTTCTTTTTGATTTCGTTTTTATTTTTATTTTTCTTTAGGTTTTGGTTTTGGCTCAAAATCCAGCAATACCTCAAGTTCAGTAGCAAAATATATAGTATATGGTATATACTGTGTGTGTGTGTGTGTGTGTGTGTGTGTGTGTGTCCGTACAACAACAGCTTTTGCTTTGTACTTTGTGCAAACGTTTCTGTATTCAAATATCATGTCAATGTTCATGTTCATGTTCTATAAGCTAGGTATACATATGTAGAGTTACAATTACGGGGGTCGGGCTTACTTACGCTCCTCACTGTCGTAGAAGTCAATGCCCTTGGGCTTGCCGTTGTGATAATTGAAGGGTTTTCGCTTTCTCACGGGACCCGACGACATTTTGGATAGTATATCCGGCCCACCGGGATGCAGATCATATTTGAGTACAGGCTCTTCGTTGGCAGGACGCGAATGCTTCTGTATCTGCTCATTTATCCAGGGCACATATCTGATAACATTCGCATAGACACCGGGCAGTTTGGGATGAGCGCACATAATGCCCCAGGAGACGATGCCGCCAACAAACCAACGATCCTTTTCGCCCGGATACGGACATAATAAGGGTCCACCAGAATCGCCCTTTGGACATAATCAAAGTTTAAATAAAGCTTTTAATTTCTATTAAATTCAAATTCAAATTTTCTTCTATTAATCGAAGATTTATTAGACGAAAGTTAAAAAGAAATTATTCACAAAGGTCTTTTAAATTTTCCGCTTTCAACCGTTTTCCGCCCATTTTCCACGATTGTCGGTGGAATATCCAAACTTTTTTAAGCACATACCCTTATGAAATACGGTCTTGAAGATAAGCCTCAGGCCGATGGAAAGAATCTGGAAATCACGCCCAGAAAATTCTTAAAGCCAACTTTCTATTTAGGGCGTGGATTTAGCGAGCCGTTTTCCGCCAATTTTCCACTATTTGCATGTGAAATTTGCAAATATTCCATCTTAGCGTGCCCTTACATCCCATAGGGTAACCACAGACAAAAATGGATCTTTCCAATTCTTAATTAGGAGATGGAGACTTACCTGACAGGCATCCTTGCCGCCATCGTCGTAGCCCGCACAGACCATGCCCTCAGAAACGGTGAGATTGTCCAACCATTCGTCACATTGATTGCGCGTAATGATGGGCACCTGCACCTCGTTGACTATAAACTCGTAGGTGGACTTGGCTGAATAGAAGAGAAAAAGAATAAGATGAAAATCTCTTGGACAAAGAGAGAGGGAGGGAGAGATAGCGGGAGAATGGGGTACTTACGATCCTTATCCTCGCGCTTGCCCCAACCGATGACCGTGCAAAGCTGCTCGGGACGCAGACTCTTGATGTTAGGCGGCGGCAGACACACGGGCAGCAGATGCTCATGGAAAGCCACACGGGTGGCCAGCTGAAAACGAATGAGAACAAAATGAGTAACAACGAGGATTGGGAAAAGTCCGAGTAACCCACCTGAAACAGGGCTATGTCATTGTCATGTGCTATGGCCATATTGTACTGTGGATGCGGTATAACTGTCTTGACCTTGACCTTTTGACCCGTATATGTAAACGAATTGCGACGCGTGACGCCCAGCTGTATGGTCCAGTCCTCCAGATCAATAACCGTATGACTGCCAAGGATCAGAGAGAGAGAGAGAGTTGTATAATTATTTCTACTAGAGTCTAGGCAGGAACTTACTTGCCCACACAGTGGGAGGCCGTGAGCACCCACTGATCGGAGATGAGAACGCCGGCGCAGTAGAATATCTTTTCGGGTCCGCCTAGGATTGCGGCCAGAAAAGGCCAGTTGCCGGGATTCGCCTGGGAGCCACCTATAATGCGTCGCGAGGGCTTGTGGCGACCCCGCTTGACCTTGCCGCACTCTAAAGAAATCAAGACGGGATTAACTCCAGCTCATCAGGTAATCTGTTGTTCAACCCACCGAAATTGGAGCAGGTTAGCTCAGCTATGGGATAATCTTCCGTTTGCCTGCAATTGGCGAACTCCTGCATGAGCGTGGAGCGACGCTTGGCATACAGCTTCCAAATATCGGTGGACACATTAACCGAGGCCAGGAGCGGACGATGTGTGCGCTGGGTGACCACGCTGGTGGCATTTACGGCCGAATAGCCTAAGATGGAGCACACGGCGCTGGGCGAGACGGCGCGATCCCAATTCTTGACACAGGCGGGCATCCACTGGCGCTTGTTGATGCGATAGACCTCCAAGACGCCAGAGCCCACATCGCCATTGCGTTCGCTCAGACGCACTGCAGCAAGAGAGAAAACATATCAAATAGCTAGTGGGGATTGTTGTACTTATGTAATACATACAACAATTGCGCTCGTCCTGGGCGTAGGGGCAATCGATGACGCCATCGCAGATGTGCTCGGTGCCAATGCAACGCTCGTCGCCGCAGTAGATCTCGCCCTCCTGGCAGCGTGCACAGTTGCCCTCATCCTCCTGATCCATGCAGTCCAAATGGCCATCGCACACATACTCCTTGGGCAGGCAGCGATTCGTGTCGCACTGGAAGCCATCGCACTTGGGATTCGCCGAGGATATCATAACTTCGCGCACCTCATCCAAGCCCACACAATCCTCAGCGCTGGAAAAGTCCTTGAAGAGCTTACAGTTCAAATACTCCGGCAAGCTCAGCCCAAAGACATCAAAGAAGAAACCGCAGCGACGCATCGTTTCCGTGCAGAGCGTCTTACAGGGCGGCACGGCGGCCCTATAGAAGTCAGATTATTAGACAAAGATCGAATCCAGCACCAACATGAAGGTCTTAAAGGGTTTAATCCATGTTCAAGGCTGCAGTAACTGGAACTGCAACCACTTTGTGCACATCAATTCTGGTTAAAAGCTTATCCGCAAGTCCTTATAAACAACTTGTTGTGGCAAGCGCAGAAACATTTAATGCTCAATTCAATGATTATAATTATTTTATTATCTTTTAAGTAAGTAAGCAGCACTTGATGGCACATCAGTTGCCCAGCTTGGAGCTGCATTTCGAGGAACTACTTGTTTACAAGTGCTTACAAGGTAAAACGTTATTGGAGAACAATAAGTGCGGGCAGAAAATTAACTATAGACTATTCATTAAATAGAAATCGAGGTACAAGTATACCAGAAATCGCACTTTTGATAAGTGCCTTGCCTACTTACTTACCAGGCGCTTACGAAAGTAGACAGCTGCAAAGCAGCTCTTTAAATTCAATTTAAATGTTTGTGGTTTTTGTTGAATCAAGACTAAAAGTAAGGGATACCTTTGATGCGCCAATTAACAAACCAGCTCTTTTTGAAGACAACTTTATTCCCGCCTGATTCCTGAAGGAACTACATTATTAGTAGCAGTGCGATTGGATGCGGTCTTGCAGCTGAGCTTAGTCTAGATATCTTGAAAAGTTATCCCAGCTCAAATTAATTTTTTAACCGATTTTTATTAATAAAACCATATTATATAGTATTCCGATATTTACATTAGTTCTTTCCCCTGTAAGTATTCCTATCTTTTAAAGTAAACAAGTTTATCATGCAAGAACTTTATGCGACCTATCCTGTTAGAGAAACTAGTGAATTCCGAGTTAGGCAAATATTTTCTAATAAAAACCAAAAAAAAAAAAACCAGTCAGACCTAAGCAAAGTTTCATTGGGAGTCAGATATTAGTTTGCATAGAAACATAGCGGCTCGGCTTTCGGTTCTGATCAACAATAAATATAGCAAATGAGTTCCTTTTATGTTTGACAAATTTGATTACAACAATGATAATACCCTCTCCATGGGTATAGCTAAGTGAGAGTATTGGAAACCGGGTGGATGTTGAGGGTAGAGAGCTGCGCTCGCAGTTGGAATATTTACTTGAAGCCGGCTGAGTGCAAGGATGAGGGGCCATACGACGAATTCACGCTGACGGAGCACGGGGTAAAGTATCTTGGATAATTAGAGGGAAGTAAAAGACGCCATAATCTAGGAATGGCTGCTATATCGAACCGGAAATTGGTCCAGATGCTTCAGAATGGAGAATCTAAAAGCTGTCGAGCTCCTAGCACACGGCCCAGAGATCTCTCTCTGAGGCTCGTTCTATCGCCCTACTGAAATTACGTCATCATCTTACCTCACATAAGTCATTTGTCCATTTGATACACTACCTGGCGTGTATTCAACAATAAAGCAGTTTTTCAGCCGCAATAACTTACCCAGTTTGTCCACACTTGGGCACAAAGAGCGTGCATAGGAAGAGTGAGACAAGCTCGTAGCAACGCACATCGACGAGTGCCTCGTAGGAGTCGAGATCCTGCGGATGAGATTGTTTAATGCACTGACTGGCAGTTCCTCACATATTTACCACTTGCGTCTCCAGCTGGCCAAAGTGGCCGATGTAATTGGGAAAGACGGTGTAGTTGTAGGGTATCTGCGGTCCCTGGCAGAACTTGACAATGATGGGCAGACAGGTGCCCGGTGCGGGATTCTTGCCAAAGCTCGATGTATCCTCCACATGGATGGTATTGATGATCGTCTTATTGACGAACTTGATCGTGGGATAGGCATTAAAATAGGCAGCCAGGCCGCCGGCAATGGCCAGCAATGCGAACGCATTGATCAGGATCTGGAACAGGCGGAACTTCAATCGTCCGTTGGTGATGTACGGATTCGAGCTCTTGCGCCGATTGATGATCTGTGAAAGAGACGAACTCGTCAGCTGGAAACGACTTCCGATCCCGTTAAGCCGCACTCTCACCTGATGCTGCAAGGACATGGTGTGGGGTGCACCGTTCTGAAAGCGCACAATGGTTTGTAGGCTGCTGGGCGTGGCATTTGGGCACTTGCTGAGCGGCGAGAGCGTCTGCGGCGGCTCCAGCTCCTCGATGGGCTCATGCTGCACGCCCTGGCGACAGACAATGGGCGCCGGGGCGCTGCACAGCCGCTTGGCGGACAGCGAGGGCAGCAGCGGCGCCTCCATTAGCTTGGAATTGTAGCCCGGACTGGATGTCTGGCTGAAACTGTCGCTGGATATGGTCGAGTCCTGGCGAAAATTCATCTTGCCACGCAGGGGCGCTGCCGGATTGCCGCTGCCAAAGCGCATTGGTGCCAAGTCCATCAGAGGCTGACGCTGCAGCACGCTGGGAGCTTGGCTCTTGCGTGCGCTCTGCGCCGATGCCAGCAACGGCGTCTCCATGAGCTTGGAATTATAGCCGGGACTGGAGCTAATGGAGTAGCTATCGCTGGACAGCGTCGAGTCCTGTCGCTGCTGCAGCTTCGGATAAACAATGGGCGGCGGCTTGTTGCGATTCAGCTTGTTGCGCACGGTCAGCGGCGGCGGGGCATGCACCTTGGCCACATTCTCCATGCACTCAAACGAATTCAGATTACGCAACGGCGGCTCCGGCGGCCCTGGACGTTTCGGTTGACCGCTGGCAACGGCGGGCGGCGGTGCACTGCCAGCGGCGGCAGCATCACCGCCGCTCAGCGACACGGACGTGGAGGACATGGTCGCGCTGGATATGGTGCTCGAGCCGCTGCCGGCCGATGAGGTCGATGCCGAGGCCGAGACGCTGCTGCTGCTCTCCTTGCCACAATCGCTTGACGAGTTGTGGCTGCCCTTGTGGCTGGCCGGCGGCGGCGGCAGCGGCAGCTTGCCCGGCAGCTGCGGCAACTTGCGTGCCGGCACCGTGGGCAGCTTGTTGCTGCTGTTGTTGTTGTTGTTCGTGCTGTTGTTGCTGTTGCTGTTGCTGCTGCTGCTGCTGCTGTTGGCGTACAGATTGTTGTTCAGCTTGTGCATGACATCGTTGAGCGCGGCACGCTCCAAGCGGCACGTGTCCTTGGCCAGCGGCGAGTCTATCGAGCTGGATAGCGGCTTTTCGTCTAGCGACGATTGCGTGTCCACCGATGAGAAGCGACTGCGAAAATCGACGCTCGTCGAGCTCGAGGCGAAACGTTCGCTGTGTGCGCCCGTCGTCGAGCCATATGCCGAGTCCACGGTGCTGCTGGAGGAGCGCTGCGCCCGCTTGGCCATGTGACCCGTGGCATAGCGGCCGCTTTGATAGCCAGCGACCTTGACAGGTGTCGAGGTTAGTGACTCATCAAAAACGGAATTCTCCAAGCTCATGCGGTCGTCATCCGATATTCCATCGGCATCCGCGTATGTCGGACGTGCGGCCAAATCAACAAGCAGCGCTGATTGCCCAACAGGCACACCCACACCCACTGTTGCGCCTGTCGCCTCCATGCTCTGGTTTGTTGGCTGCGGATAAACAAACACGCTGCCATTTCCAGCTGCGGCGGCGGCGACGGCGGCGACGTTATCCTGGCCCACATCCTGGCTGGGCTGCCAAGCGCATTTGACGGCGCGCATCAGACGACGTGGTATGGGCGGCGGCGGGGTCACGGGCGTGTCCACACGCACCAACTGCTGATGCTTGCCGCTCGCCATGGGAGCTGACTTGCAATATTTCTGATCCGCCATGTTTACCTGTCACACACACACACACACACAGACAGAGATGGAAAGTAGAAAGTCAAATGGCAATTCGGGCGGGCAATGAGTCAGTCTAAGCCGCCACTAAGCCGCAATGCAAAACCTGACACAGCTTTCTGCCCTCATGAAACAGAGCCAGAGCAGATGCAGAAGCGAATCTCGCTAGGTGGGGAGATGTGTGGAGGGGGGAGAGGAGGGAGGAGGGAGGTGGACTTTGGGGCGGAAACTGAACTCTGTTTGTCCGCAGATTTGCGCGCGTGGCAAACACAAAACATTTTTGATTCGAGTAGCATGGATAAGAAGGCGGTGGAGGGGGGGCGGGGCGGCTGAGAACGAAAGCTGACATTGTGCAATATGTGCATAGCCCAGGTGGGGGTAGTGAGGGGGGGCTAGGCTGTGCTATCGATAAATTATGCACCGCCAGCGAAAGTTTGTCCGCATAGCTAAGTGCAACAGTGCGGAGCGCTTAGCTTTTTTATGGCCAGATATTGGCTAGTGAGTTGGCAGAATTTGTGTCTAAAATGCTGACTAGGTTTTAGAAAAACAACTTTTCCTGACTTCCTGCCTGCGGGTTCGGTTAGTGAAACTGAACCTTTAAAATCTATATCGGGAGATTTTAGAGCAAATGCTTGGCCACAAGTTTATCAGACTACAGAGCTGGGTCTCCTTTGACCCTTTTTGAAATATGATGCGCTTGTATTCAAGATTTGTTGCCTAATCAAAATAAAATTGAAATTCAATTCCGAGGTAAATTAAACCTAAGCTAATATTATTATGTGTTTAAATCTGTGATAGAAATAATTTAAGTTATTCGTTTCTTTTGAAATGCAATTTTCCTTGGCAATCCACGTTTAAACTAACATACTATATCTAGAGCTTTGCTAGTTCTTAAGACTTAGCAGGATTCCGTGCTCCAAGAAACAGACATAGTTACCTTCTATTGTAACCAGAGCATATTTCCAGGGAAATGTGCATTTTGTGAGCAGGTCTTTTCCCAGAGTTTGGTCGAGTACTTACCAGAAAGTCGGCAGCTGCTTGGGGCAGTTGGGTTGGCTTCTGCTTATCCTCGAGCATGGGATAATAGTGGGACGAGTGGCGACGTACAATGCTGCTGGAGCTGCTGCTGCTGCTGTGGCTGTTGCTGTGGCTGTTGCTGTTGCTCGGCAGGGGGAGCAGGGTGACCGATTTGCATTGCTCCTGTTGCTTGTCGTAAAAGTCCAACAGCGAGTTGAGCGGCAGAGCCAGGCTGGAGGCGCGTTCCGAGCTGCAAAACCGATTTAGATAGAAAACACGCGAATTAAGTGGTTTAAGTCTTAGAGTGTCAGAATTTACCGTGTGCGGTTCCTTTGGGCATCGCTCGAGTGCGGATCCTGCGTAACGCTCAGAAATTGTTTATTCATATCTAGTGCGTTCATGTTTTAATCAGCGTCATTAAGCGAAATCGAACTGCAAGTGGCAAAAAGTTACGAATAAGTTAAACAACTTTTTTGGCAACACTCTATCGACACACACACACACACTCGACTAAAGCGTGGCGCATGCTGTGCATAACTAATTTGAACTACGAACTACGAGAAGCCCAATGCAAAACGCTGTGAGGCACATGAATAAAAATCAATTATGCAATCGCTCACACTTTGCACAATACGTGACGCTACAGTGCCCAGACAAAACAGTGCAGTATATAAACTATGCCCAACTGTGTATAATTGTATATGTGTCTGTGTCTGTGTGGCCCTGTCCGTGTGAACGGCAAGCGGAAACGTTACCCTGCCACGCAATTTGGCCTTTTGTGTCTAATGGATATGCCATTAGCCGGTCACATAACAAAACACCGCCACAGACAATGACATTAGCTTCTGGCTTCCAGAGAGTGATCCTATAGACACATCAAATATGTTGTTATTGGCAATGGGATATTATGAAAATTGTCGCAGAGATGAGCACGTGTCGTGATTTTCCTGGTTACGAAATTTTATATTAAAATCTAACTTTATTTTACTATATTTAGTTTTTGAGAGTTATCAGAAGAGCTATCCATTCCAAAGAAGCAAAAGACTTTAAATTAATACACAAAAATGTTGTGCCCCAAAAAGTATGCTATAAAAATTAGTCTAAAAATGTGCTACATGACATTGATTCTGTTCAGCTTTCGATGTAGCATTGAATAGTGTTAAATTAAGTTTGAATTAACTTGTTTTGCAATGATTTAGACAACATAAATATTTTTCCAAGTCTTTTTCCAGTTAAATGCCTTGAATATTTTATTTAATAACTGCAAACAATCCGACTTGAAAAAGTGCTCAGCAAACACTTAAATTTTCGACTTGGAATGCTCAAATATGAATTTGGACGGTCACGTGCGCATCCCTTGCCCAAATCCTTATAGTATATGTTCGTGGGTCAGGCGCCATGAGAGTGTGTGTGGGTAGTTATAGTTCATTATCGCAATATTGTCATATTTCTAAAGCATACATAATATATATATGTGTGTGTGTGTGTGGTAAGTATCTGTGGTTTATTGTCAGCCACTTTGACATTGCCCAATATTCATTTGTTGACACTTGCATCCCGCCCCTGCCTGCTGGCAGCTGGGCCTTAAAGCTGTCAGCGTATAATACACAATATTATGATGGCTCCATTGCCTTTGACATGGCCGACTAAAGCCGTCTTAAAGTTGTTGTGATTGTTTTTGTTGTTGTTGTTGTTGCTGCTGCTTGGCAGCTGGCAGCTGGCAGCGCGAAATAATTGAACGATTTATGACTTACGCTCGATGCTGAAGATTGAGAGCTGTCTGGCAGGCAGGCAGGGCAGGGCAGGAGAAGTCGGCACATCAATAAAAACGTGAGTCAATAAAACTGATAATTAACTTTTGAGCAGCAGTGTGCTTAAGCCACAGGTAAGCATTCAAAATGAAACAAACAAATGTGTAGAGAGTATCTGTGTGTTGAGCATGGCCCTTCCCCCTGGGTAAGCGACCTAAATGTATGAGCTGTTGCACAGTTTTCCAGTTTTTCACAATTCCAATAAATAAATAAAAAAAAAGTAGGGGCAGCAGCCAAGCTGTCGCCAGAGCGAGACAGGTGCAACAGGTGAAAGTGAAATGCAAGCGAAGAGGGGAAAAATCAGGACAATGCATACACACAACAGCCAACAGGCTACCACTCACAGGCAGAGCGAGAGCGAAAGAGAGCGATAGAAAATGAGAGAGATAGTGAGAGAGAGAGAGAGAGAGGGGGGGGAGGCAGGCAAACAGTTTTGCTTGATAATGTGTCAAGGACGAAAATTGACACTAATAGGATTCAATCAACTTTGACAAGTGCACACAACAACAACTGACAACTGACAACATGTCCTGGCACACGCATATCTACCTGTGTGCATGTGCATGTGTGTGTGTGTGCGCGTTTGCGGTTTGACTGCAATTTACTGTTCATATTCCGTAAGCTTCTCAAATTCTAGGAACTATTTTAATGCTAATTGCCAAGCTATTATATTTTCAACTTTGCATACTCAAAATGCAAATGGAGTCGTGCTTAGGTCGCATGGGGAATACCCATTAAGAGTCGGAATGCATTTAACCTAATTTCCTGCCGGGTTTTGCTCAGCACAAATATATGTGCTGCGGCTGTTTAGGATAAGCTTCAACAAATATTTATGCCCAAAAAGCGTGGGCCTAGTTAAAATTGTATTTTAATTGTTTTTATTAGCTTTTGGAAAGTTCATCTCGCCAGGCTGGCAAACGCGGGCCTAAGATTATTTGGATCACCTTTTAAATATTGCTCAATAGGCTTCAAATATACTTTCTTTTATGGATTTGGATAAGTGCCATCCTCAACTCTGGTGAATAATTGAAAAATTATTAAACAAATCTTTCGATCGGTCTTAAGCCCATTTTCAAATATCTTTGTGAACATTCATTTGATATGTTTTGGAAAACTTTACTTCATCTTTTCTGGCTAATTTCTGTTGTTGAATGTATACTGTACCTTTAAAATATATATTTTTGTCATATGTATAAGCTTGCCTTTAAAAGGAATATCCAAACTTAATGAACTTCGTATGAAGTGAATTTCCAGCTAATTGGCCTTTTCTAACTCTATTTAATTTAACCCACTTGCAAGCAAACCGAATACCAGGGTATCCCAATATAATATATATTTTAATAAATTGCATATTTATGGACATTTTGTCCATTTCAAACGAAAATATGCAAAGCATTTGCAGTGCACAAATATTTATGGGCCACTCAGCTGGAGTATGCCCGCATTTTGTTGGGCTGTGCGCACAAAATAACTTTGCTGATTAACTTGAAATTCCGTTTGCCATTTCCATGTGCCGAATGTAATTTACTGCGTTAGCTTTGTGCAAATATTTTCAGCTGTACAACTGGAGGTATACTTAATATTGGTTATCAAAGCAATCGGAAAAGAATAGCAACAACAAGCGCAGTTTATATGGAATTTAAACCTTTTCAAACTCAAGATCAGGCCTTGATTCAGCTCGTGGCCAACAATTTATGTGCTCGCTGTGATTTGTGATTTGCAATTTGTTTGGCATTTGAAAAATGTCTCATTTTATTTTTCTTGCTTATTGAGAAATTGACACTTGCGAGACGAGTGTCGCAGTTGGAGCATTGACCCTACTCGGCGTCTGTTTATCTTGCACTGATGAGGCAGCTGATGTTGCAGCTAGAATGTTGTCAGGACTACAACAACTTGAGGCAGAGTAATACATTTTGAAGCGTCCACTCGGCCACGCCCGACTGGTTAGTGGAGGCATCCTTGAACACGCCTCCAACCAACACATAATTCGTTTTGGCCACATGCGAGTGCCTCTTGAGGCCAGACTAACAAATGCAAACAGTTTATGGTTCATATGAGTTCGCAATTGGCATTAAGCATACAAATGCTGAGCAAATATAATTTATTTCTGTGTGTGACTGTGTGTGTGTGTGTGTGTGTGTGGCGTGTGTGTGCATACACATACATACGGCATTTTCTATGCATTTTTAATGCTTATTTGCTAACAAAAAATGTGGGGCAGGCAAAAGGAAGCTTGAGCCGCAAAAATATTCAATTATTTCCCTTTAGAAAAGAATTATGTAATGGAATTATTTTGTTGTCACAAAATTTAAAATGTATGCTTAAACAATTATGCAAGTTGGAGTACTTTTTTGAGGATGGGTGTTGCTTGTCGCTTCTCAGTCGCTTTCGAGAAGATTTAAAGAAGAAGTGCTTCTTTTCTTATTACCAAATTCGCGATACAGAAGATATAAAAGCGATAGCAGTCCTTGCTCGCATAGTCTAATATATTGCCCCAAATATTGAAATGCCAAATTTCCCATCAATAATATCATTGATTTTTTGTTTTAACTGCAAATACTTAATCTTACTCAATAACGCAACCGTTTTATAGGGTTAAAGTGCAGAAATAATTGCGAGCTGCCAAACTGTAGTACATCATTAAAATGCCAGCACATGAGCATTATTTTTGGAGCGGGTTTTTTGGGGGCTGTGAGTTATGCAAGCCAGGGCCAATTACGAAAATGTCCCATCAAATTGCCTGGGGCCATTGCCTAATTTGTCTTGGCAGCATCCTGCCGGGCAGCTGGAGTAGCCCTGGGGCCAAGGTCATAGTGAAAGCAGCACAAAATCACGAATGACATGGGTGCGACTACAACGGACGTGTGTCCTAATAATGTTAGCCATATGGGTCGGTCCCTTCAAGTCAACCCTAAACTCACTCCTTTTGCGCATCCGCATTCAACGTGCAAATTCATGTTGTGTGCGTGTGTGTGTGTGTGTGTGTGTGTGTAATTCTCTAGAATCGCATATTTTTTTCATATTCCTGTGGTCCAAGCTTCTTGGAATTTCATTACAGCATGCTACACCCAATGCCTGTCAGCCCAGCGCCCACAAATGGGCGTGGGCCAAGCGCTGGCCAAGCCAAAGAAGCGAAGTAAAAAACAATAAAGAACGACCAAATACCCTTGTTTATGGCTTTGGAGATATGTGAGAGTAACGAGAGTAATTACAGAATATTTTACAAATTTCTGGAAAACGCGAATACAAAAGCTCAAGAAATGATGGTAAGATTCTTCCAATAGAGCTTTACGATATAGTAGTAAGACGCTGATAAAGTGTTGCCTTTATGTTAGGATAGGTTTCTCATTCAAGTACTTGTTCTTCAAAGGATTGTTTCTATGGGAGCTATGTGACAGCTCCTGAGGATTTTTTTAAACATGGGAGAGTTGTATGCAACTCGACTCGGCTCTTGTTATTGATACGAAGATGCTACATTTCATCACAAAATGATAAGACTCTCGACAAGAGTATTAAAAAGAATAAGTAGAGAGTGAGAGAGAGAGAGCATCATGAAAAATTTCAACAACGTGTGTAAGTGCCAGTCGCAGTTTGAGTTTGAGTTTGAGCTTCAGTTTGAGT